GTGAGAGTGTGAAACATGTATGTTATCTACTGCTACACATGCTGTTATCTACTGCTTTAGAGTTCAAAGAAGTGTTGTGAATTATGCGATCGAGAGTCTACATACACTACTTACTGAGCGATGAGACTGGAAAAAAGTTGAAGAGGTTTTCTCATATTGGGACTTTTCAATGAAGCTACAAAAATCATTTCAGGTATAACTTGATTCCTTTTTATTAATTTTTAATACAAAGAATTTACTACTAATTATTTTTTTTAATATTATAGGTTTCGAATATCCTACATCTAATTTATTTCTTAGCGAATTGTTTGGGATAAAAGAAGCATTGGATGTATTAGTTTTAGGAGGAAGTGATTACATGGTAGCTATGGCTATGAAGATGAATAAAAAATTTGACAAGTATTGGGGTACTTGTAACTTGTTAATTTCAATTGGTGCCATTTTAGATCCCATGTATAAATTTAAGTTGTTTGAATTTTATTTTAATGAAATTATTTGAGTTATATTGATGCCATTCTCTCTATCAGGTAAAATGAAATTGTTTGAGTTTTCTTACAATACTATTTATTCACATGAAGCTCCGAGAGAAATGCAAATAGTTCGATGTATTTTATATGAGTTGTACCAAGAATATGTTGAGGCTCATAAAGCAGAAAATGTTGTTTCATCTACTGGAAATGATGGGAGTCAAGGTGTTAGTATTGGTGGTACTTCTAAGAGTAGTGTTAGCTCCTTATTCAGTCGGTTTGGTAAAGGTATTAAAACTGGCACAACTAAATATGACCAACATATTAGAAATGTCGATACTTTTATATTTGTCAAGTTAGAATTGGACACTTATTTGGAGGAAAGAGTTTTAATTGGTGAGCCTGGTGTATATTTTGATGCCTTGGGATGGTGGAAGGAGAACAATCTTAAATTTAGCATTTTGTCAAAAATGGCTACTGATATATTGGCAATTCTGGTCACTATTGTTGCTTCTGAATCTGCTTTCAGTGGTGGTGGGAGGGTTATTGATCTGCATCGATCATCTTTAGGAACTAAGATGGTATATATGTTTTTTTGTGGAGCTGATTGGTACGTCAATACTATGGGTTAGAGAAAAATAAAAACAAGGTATTTTTATGTTTTAAATTTTATTGGATTTGGTTCTACAATGACTAATATATTTTTGGTTTTTTGATTTGTTGTAGCAAAACGAAGATATCATACATGTTGAGCTTCCTTGAAAACGAGGATGAATAAATTGGTATAACTTCGTTAATTTAGTATACTTTTCATCTTTTGTTATAACTCCTTTACTTTAATATAATTTATTTGTTTGATTATGATCAGGATGGATGATGAATTAACAACTGATCATGAATGCAAGTTGAATATGTTACGAAGATTATTGAAGTTGTTTGGTTGAATAATTAACTTTAAGACTTTATTATGTTCATATAACTTATTTATGATGTATGTATGGTTCTGTCGTATTCGAACAAATTAACTCTAAAGTTGTAGGTTATATTAATGAATTTTAAGTTGTTATTTTTGTTGTTTATTATTCTTGTTGTTTACATTTTTAAAATTCATTTGTTGTGTTCGAATAAGTTTATTTTTTGTGTTTGTGTTGTTCGTTTATGTTCGTTTATGTGTTCGTTTATGTTCATTTATCATTTAAATGAACGAACATGAACAAGTTATATTCCTTAATGAACGAACATGAACAAAAAAAATTTTGTTCGTTTATGTTCGTGTTCGTTTATGTTCATTTATTTATTAAATATACGAACATGAACATACCTCCATTCATGTGCGTTCGATTCATTTACAGACCTATGAATGACACATGAATTCTATATTAATAAAAAATAGTCCACATCAACACACATAACATGTTAGCTTTTCATTTATGATTTAACATCTAACTGACTAAAATAAAAAAAATTAATGAATAAATTAACATTTTTATTCTTTAATTATCAAAATAAGAGTAAGAAGAAAAATGAACGATGAGAATTATAATCATATTTGAAAAAATTGTATTTTTATTGTTATGTACGTGTTATAAATTAATTAAATTGAATAGAGGGTAAAATTTGATTATTATACAAATATGTCACACACTGATTTGATTATTAATTGATTTTTCAAACACACGTCATAGTAGACGATTAAGCTTATTTGTGACCTTCTTTGAGAATCAGACACATTATTAGTTATTTGGGTGAACATGTTTGAAATTATAGGTTTTTTATGTACATTTTAATTATTATTTGTATAAACTAAATTACTTTAATGATAAAAGAATTGTTGTTTTTCTTTGAGGTTTCAAATTCAATCATAAAGAATGGCAACGATGTGACTGTTCAATGTTAAATAGTTGACTGTTATTTTTGAACATATACTATAATGTAATTATCTCAAATTAATCAAAAAAATAATTATTTTTTTCCAAATATTGATATTAATGATTTTGTTTTTTATGTAAAAAAACATGTTATTTAATAATAAAATATTTAAATGATAAAAATATAAAAATGCAAAAATATATTTGAATTATCAGAAAATTGTAAACTTTATAAAATTATTAAAAATATAAATAGAGTATATGAAAAGATAAAACGGTTAATGATAAATTAATAAATTTATTATTTCTTCGATTATTTAATATAATAAAAATAAAAATATATAAATTATAAATGGTGAAAACAGTTTAAAGGTTAAAATAACTTTTTTTAGAAGTTTAAAGATAAAAACTGGCATTAGGTAAAAAAGTGAAAGTTATTTGTTTTTTAATTTTTATAATTGTCGGATATATTTGAATTTGTTTTTTTAAGATATCAAACATATAATGATATAGTATATAATTCATGACTTGTTATAATGATTTTATTTTATTTTAGATTAAATTATTATAATAATACCACACAGTTATAAATCTTACCAAGCTCTAATATTAATCATCTAAACAACAATAAAATCCTATTCCCATATGCAATGGGATAAGGGGGAGGTAGAGACCCTATTACATATGAAAATAGGGTTTTGTTAATTTTCGGCTAGTAAAAAATTGTTAATTAAGGTATTGAAATATTAAGTATTCATGTTAGGTCTTACGTACAAATCATTACAAATTGCTAATTAAAACGTTGAAATCTCAAGTCTTCATGATCAAATCGTATCACACAAGAATAATAATATTTATCCTGATTTAAAAATATTTTTTAGTCACTAAATTAAAATTTTAATATTTCCGAAATAGGCCTTGATAATAAGAATGGATATGAGATGTGAGTTCGACGAATTTTGACTCGACCTAATCTTATTGGAAAAAGTTAAAAAATTGATTTCAAATCAAATTTTTAGAGGAAGAGTTCATTCAAATTTAGAGTAAAAAAATACCCTACTCAATTAAAAAAATAATTTAATTATATCTTATATATTTAAGGATAAATGTGATAATACATATCTCTATATTATTATTTATTCAATTAATTCTCTATTTCATTAAAAAGAATTAATAATTTTTTATAAATATATTTTTTAATTCGGATCTAGTCGAATTTAAATTTTATCTGGAAAATAAATCTAGAAGAAACACATAAAACTTAGATCCAATCAAAATTCACTTATCAAATTTCAAGCGTAAGATATATATACATATATTTTGTAAAATTGGCCGGAAGACAATCCATACCCATCCCTAAAACTTTATGGTGTAATGACCATAATGCTATTCTTAATGCTACATGAAAAATGCTAAGCCCCGGATCTTATTATTCTTGAAATCAGCTTGATGTTGTGCATCTGTAATTTTCCAGAGTTTGTCATTTCAATTGGTAACGAGTTGGTGCCCACCACACCATTTTCATCACCCCTCTTTATTTATCAAAGGTGGGTCCAACAATAGTACCATGAAAGCGAGACCCTTTTCTTTTCTCTCACCTCAATAATGTAATAGATGGACGATGAACCCAAAATAATTTTAAGGGTAAAATATAGTAATGGTCACTAAACTTTTCTAAAACATTCATTTAAATCCCCTAACTTTTAAAACTTACAATGAAATCCCCCAACATTTAATCTATTTACAATATGATCTCCCAAAATTTATTCTATTTACAATATGTTCCCCAACGTAACTTTTAAAGGACCATATTACAAACGAATTAAATGTTATAGTATCATATTGCAAGTTTTAAAAATTAGAAGACCTAAATGAAAACTTTAAAAAAATTCAGTGATCATTACTTTACTTTACCCTTATATTAAAAAAATAAGATTTATATTTTATTAATTTAACATTCAAGGTTTAAAAATGTTATGAATTTTTTCATTTACATTATTAACTCTAAATTAAGTTTTTCATTTGTACAGATGATTTTAAAATATTAATATTTTAAAGTAATATTTGACATTTTAATAAAATTGTTATACATATGAATGAGCATTTAATCTATAAACTCAATGAATTTTAATATGATTTTATAGAATTGGATTTTTTTTAAAATCAAATTTAAAGCAGGTGGATTTTTTTTTAAGGTTGATATTAGATTTATAGTGAAAAATACTTGTATTACTCTCTTCATATATTTAATCGATTAAAGGCTGGGTGTTAATTTATCTCAAAAATTGAATAATATTTTAAGATAAATAAAACTTTCTCAAACTCAGATCAAATAATAAATAAAAAGATATAATAACGACCATTAAATTTTTTTAAAACTTTCATTTAGATCCTTAACTTTTAAAATTTACAATACAATCCCCTAACTTTTAATCCATTTACAATATGATCCCCAACATTTAATCCATTTACAATATAATCCCCAATGTAACTGTTGAGGACCATATTATAAATAAACTAAATGTTTAGAAACTCTATTACAAATTTTAAAACTTTAGGGACTTAAATGCAAAAATTAAAAAAATTCAGTGACCATTACTATACTTTACCCTAAATTTAATCAACTTCAAGCTTTGATTAAGCTAAATTAGCTGTACTCCCGCACACCATTACAACACCCCCATTACATTTATTTGTTTATTTAAGTAATACAGCTGCCGGACTGCCGCTCAAGGTCGGATGTTGAATGACAAAACATCCGTTAACCACCGTGGGCTAGCGCAGCCTTGGTCATCGCTCTTAAAAAACCTACTACAGTAACACGAGACAAGATCAAACTAGCATTAAAACGGACACCTTTAGCATATTGAAATTAAAAAGAAAATACACTATTTACATGCAACCCTGGTTCAGCCTTCTCCGAGGCTGCTAGCTTCCCGCCCGCCCATGAGACGCCACCTACTCAGCGATGCTTGCTCCTGGTCTCCCCACTATAAAGCCTGTTAATCGTATGCAAACCGAGTACTTTCATCTTAGTACACTTAGTTTTGATACCCAGAAATCAGATTCAGCCCCTTTGATTCAGAATCCTCATGAAATTGATTTAAAGTTTTATACATTTTTCCCTTTTAAAATATCTGATATTATTTATTTAAAGCCAGTAATCTTAGTTTTTCTTTTTTGCTCATTAAAAGTAATTAAGAATAAGAAACAACTAGTGTTATACCATATACAAGTGTGTATACTGATCAAAAGGAATTATTTCCACGCAGCTACCAAACAAATAACCAAGTTTTCCTTCATTCTCCCCCTCTGAGCCTCCGTTTGGTTGCTGAGAAAACGTTACAGAAAACAGAAGAACAAACATAGGTAATTCATTGAGGATTCTGTTTTAAAATTTAATTTCATTGTATTATATATATTATATAGAGAAACAGAAGTAACTATCCAGTTAATGTCAGCCTTGCCATGATTATTTTGAATTCGTTTATCTGAGCAACCAAATAGATGGGATAGTGGAACACCCAGCCCCAAATCCCAACATGTCAAGTGCTAGGAGGTACGTCCTACGTACCAGTCATAGACAGTAGGAGAGTTAGGTTGTGGCCTGTGGAACATATCAGCGCCAATACTTTTAGTAGCGAGGTTGCTCCAGGGATGGAAGACGCTCCTCCACACGTTCTCCTTGCGCGGCGTCGGAGTCGTGGGTGTCACCGGTGTCGGCGGTGCCCCTGGACTCATTGGCATCGACAAAGACCTCCGGAACCTTTTCCCTTCTCCGTCATCTAACCAAAACATATATATCAACCCTCTCTGTAAGTTGCTCAAAGTACTCACTCGAACTAATCAAATCCATGCACGTTGATTATTAGGATGGATCATTTTACCTTTGATGGACAAAGGCTGGGTGGTGATCTTCCGAAGCTTGCCGAGACCACGCTCGGGTTGAGGCCCAGCAAGAACATCGTCCCACATTTTATCAAGCAGAACCATTTTCTTCCCTTTTTGCTATTCTTGGAGATGTTATTGATGGGTGGGATATATTTGGTCATATTATATAGGGGAAGCTTTAGCTGAAAATCTCTCTCTCTCTCTCTCTCTCCCCAATGAAGATGAGTAATTGCTATTTCCAAATATTATACAAGTATGTAAAAGTTATTAATTAGGTTAAAATCAAAGGTAGTTGAATAGTGGCAGTAGAAGATTGAAGAGTGGACATATGAAGGAGAGAGATGGATAAGGATGAGACTGAGTAAAGGGGGAAGGGGACCTACAAAACAAATATCTATTATTTATTTAATAATAATCGGGATGAGAGTAGGTTGAGTCACAAGTGACACTTGTTTGTCGTATTGTCTACACCATTACTAGGGGTCCACAACTAAATGAAAAGGGGAAAATAACAGCAGTCATGTGCTTAGAGATGGACACCTAGCTCCCGTTTCCTCTGAGTAGAAGAGTTCGACTCGACTCGAAAACTAGCGAGCTTAAAATTTTTAAGTTCGACTCGAACTCGAAATTTTGAACTGAAGCTCGTGAACAGCTTGAAAAGGCTCGGAATGAAAAAAAAAATCTTAAACTTAACTTGATTGAATCCTCAAACTCAAATTCGAACATAAACCTTAAATACATAAAATCTTACTGTATTTTTTAAAAAAATCAATACATAAATATTAATATTATTATTAATTTTTTTAAAAAAAATAAAATCTTAATATATTATATTTTCGAGCTGCTCACTAGTTTTTTGAGTCGAATATCGAGTAGCTCGTTTCAGCTCGTTAAGAACTCGAGTTGAATCCATTCGATCCAAGTATTTATCGAGCCTTGATAGAGTCAATAACAAATAACTCACAATCTATCTCGTCTCATTTACAGCCCTACACGCCAATTCCCACTTTCTTTCTTTTTTTTTTCTTGTAAGAATCATGATGCTTGTCTGGGTTATTACGTATTTATTAGCGTAATATCAGCCCTGAATACATATGCATTTTAAAATTGTTTCCACGATTTTATATTTGAATAATGTAAGCTTGCGTGCCGAAGCTAAAGGTTTGTCTTTTGTCATAGGAGAGTTTGGCAGTGGAAGGATCTGGACACTGAGTCTTAAGAACGGATTCCTCTATTCTTAGATCGATGTGTGCCATTCGAGATATTAAGCAATGTTTATGGTTCGCCTATTTAACAAACTATTACATCAACATCCTGGAGGCAACGTTTTCTTGGTGGAGGTATTTTTTTTCGAGAAAATCGCCTCAGTGACTAAAAATGCCTTATAATATACGATTTTAACCAATTTTTTTTGGATTTGCCAAAATGACCAACAAAATCGCAACGCGAAATAAAAATCACAACGCGATCCCCAGAATCGCAAATCAGTTTCCAAAATCGCAACGCGATTCTTGACAATCGCAATGCGATTGTACAAATTCGCATTACGATTTTCCAGAATCGCAACGCGAATATGAAAATCGCAACGCGAACACATAAATCGCAACGCGTATCCGTAAATCGCAACGCGATTTTTAAAGCGCCATTATAATCGCTACGCGTATTTTATTTTCAAATTACAAAAACGAATATTAAGACAAAATCCCGTAATCGCAACTCATAACCTAAAACCTAAAATCACAACTCAGTCCCATCTCCATCTCTCACTCTCTACGGCGAAATCCGTCCCCATCTCCGAAGATTTCCGTCCCCATCTCCGGCGAAATCCCTCACAACCATTCACGGTCAGAAATCCCTCACAATATTCAGAAATGGAAAATCAACCTCCGAGGGTTAGTTTTTTTTAATTATTTTTATTTTGAAATTTTTGCATTATTGTAGGTTTTTCATATTGAAACTGATGATAAGTTTACTGGTCATTTCAATAATAGATTAACCATTTCACTTAGATTTCATTTCGCGTTACGATTCTCTCGTTGCGATTTTCATTTCGCGTTGCTATTCTCTCGTTGCGATTTTCAAGTTAGTATTTGTCTTTGTCTTTGTTCTGTCTTTTGGTTGAAGTAATGCAATCCATTCAAGTTTCAATTTGCAGAAGAGTCGCAACGAGATAAATGAAAATCGCAACGTGAAAATGACTATCTGCAACGAGAAAAATGAAAATCGCAACGAGAGAATCGCAACGCGAAACCAAAATCGCATTGCGATTTTATTTCGCGTTGCGATTCTCTCGTTGCGATTTTCATTTCGCGTTGCGATTCTCTCGTTGCGATTTTCATTTCTCTCGTTGCGACAGTCATTCTCTCGTTGCGATTTTCATTTCAACCAAAAGACAAAACAGTGTTGCAAATTTTAGTTTCAAGAATAAACTACTACTTTTTATGTTTATTGTTTTTGGTATATCTTCAGTGTAGTTTTTGGTATATCTAACTTGGTATGTTTATTGTTTTTGTAGAAATTTTTTTCGGCTTCATTGACATTAAGGAATAAAGTTAGCCTAGCCACTACAATTGCTTCAAAGCTTTCACCTGCACAAAGACAATTGTTTGAGGAAACCTGCTTCGGGCCATGGCTGAGAGTACAGCATCCGGGTGGAGATGCTAATTTAACCCATTTGTGGCTTCAGACCATGACATCAAATCTACCCGACAGTATACAATGTGGTGAGGAAGAGATATGGTTTCATTTTCCACCAGCGTATACTTGTTTTGGGCGGAAGGAGTTCTGCTTAATCACTGGTCTACGATTCGAACACGATGATGTAGGCCGGTACACTCGTCATATCGCCCGCCCATCATGGTTATCCCGGGTTTTTCCGGATGAGTCAATGGAGAAGCCGAACCTACACGTCGACGACCTGAAGAAATTGTTTAATAAGAAAGCTGGTTTCACTCGGATGGATGACGTCGATGTTGTCCGAGTATGCGTTCTACTACTTGTGTATGCCGGCTTTTTAGGCAGAGAGGCCAAACAACCTATTCCTCGGGAGCTAATAATATTGGTAGAGGACCTGAATGCATGGAATCTGTTTCCATGGGGTTCGTATATATGGAAAGCTACCTGGACTAAGTTGTCTACTGCCTTTGATGACCGCAAAAGTTTGCGTGGCGATGGGTCGAAATACACTTTGTCAGCTTTGTTTGGGCCTTTAAGGTAAGAATTTCTATATAATGTTTCTAAAATTATAATTAATTATTTAACAATTACTAATTTTGTTATTATATTGTTTGTAGATTTGGATATTCGAGGCTTTCCCCAGCATGCGTACATATGCAATAAAAACGTCAAATGATATTCCCAGGGCTATTTCCTGGAAGAGGAAAAATCTGTTGGATTGGGAAGACTTAATACCATATGCGACAATAAATAATGTAAGTTAACACAAATACTTTCATATATATAAACAAGTTATTAATAGTAGACGTTTAACTTTGTTTGAGTTTTTATATTGTTAGGAGGCCAACATTCCATTACAAAGACTGACACCCACGGAGGAAGAGCTTGCCACTGATTGGTGGCAAGCTAGTCAGAGTTTTTTTGATGGCACGGATGATGAGCAGCATCCACTTCCTCCAATTCGAGAGCCATCACCTCACCCAGAGCCATCACCCGATCGACCCGACTATACACCTCTAGAACGAGAGCCATCACCTATCCCGTCACATCATCGAGCTCTTCTCCACCATCACCTCATGATAGGCGACCGGTAAAGAGGCCACGACATTTATCTCCTTGTTCTCCACCTCCACGGGATGAGTTACGTGATGAGGTCAATGCCTTGCGTGAGGAGATCGGTACTCTACGCGATAACGATGGTGCATGGCGTGTGGAGGTGTCAACTTTACGTGGTGAGGTTGCCGCTCTACGTGAGATGATAGTATCGTTGCAAAATGAGGTTCATACTCTACGCAACGAGGTAAGTTTAAGATTTTCCATATTTAACTTAATGATAAATTTACTCGTAATTTCACTTAGATTAGCCATTTCACTTAGATTGCTTAGTAAATTTATTCGGTTGCTGCCAATTCTGCTAAACTGTGTATTCTTTAACACTGTGAAATAGTATTTGTCTTTGTTTTGTCTTTTGGTTGAAAGTAAATTTGTTCGGTTGCTGCCAATTCTGCTAAACTGTGTATTCTTTAACACTGTGAAATAGTATTTGTCTTTGTTTTGTCTTTTGGTTGAAAGTAAATTTGTTCGGTTGCTGCCAATTCTGCTAAACTAATACCCTGAAGTCAGTATTTGTCTTTGTTTTGTCTATTGGTTGAAGTAATGCAATCCATTCAAGTTTCAATTTGCAGAAGAAGAAATAGTTTACTTTCGCAACACGAAACTTAAAATCGCAACGAGAGAATCGCAACGCGAAATGAAAATCGCAACGACAGAATCGCAACGCGAAACCAAAATCGCAACGACAAAATCGCAACGCGAAACCAAAATCGCATTGCGATTTTCATTTCGCGTTGCGATTCTGTCGTTGCGATTTTCATTTCGCGTTGCGATTTTGGTTTCGCGTTGCGATTTTGGTTTCTCGTTGCGATTCTCATTTCGCGTTGCGATTTTAAGTTTCGTGTTGCGAAAGTAAACTATTTCTTCTTCTGCAAATTGAAACTTGAATGGATTGCATTACTTCAACCAATAGACAAAACAAAGACAAATACTAACTTCAGGGTATTAGTTTGAAACATATTTTTCTTTGTTATCTGATGCATTTTGTGAACTATGATAGAATAATGACTTGGGTGAATACAATGCAAGTTTGAAACATATTTGTCTTTGTTTTCACTGTTTAAATATCATGTCTGTTTATTTACTGATTTTTGTATTTAATTATTTAGCGGCCCGATAGAGTGGATGCTTTACGTCGGGTTATGCTTGCACGACGGAGTTCACGCATCAGACAGCGTGCACGTGCTATTAAGTCTCCGTACACCCCAATAGTGCGAAGACACCGCAAGAAGAAGCCCGACTCGCCTGTCATCCCTCAAGAGTCCACTCCTATCGTTGAAGAGGCCCCCCTATCATTCCTCGAGAGTCCCCTCCCACCGTTCAAGAGGCCACTGTCATCATTGAAGAGGTCCCTCCCACCATTCAAGAGCCCGATTCACATGGCGTCATATGTAGGCTTCTTGAGAAACCCTCTGACGTGCCGGACATGATGGATTCAAGTTGGCTCTCGTATGAGTTACCGGCCAGTACCATACCGGTATCTGAAGAGGAGAGGAAACAACTACCGGACACAATTCTGGATAACACCCTTTGGGCTAAGACCGCAGTTGATTTTTATCTACATGAGCGGAGCCAGGGGTGTTTCACTGACATATGCAAGCTCACCGATGATATCTATTTGTTGCTTGATCGGTCTTGGTGGGGCGTATTATTAGGGGTCGAAGACAATGGCTATTTCGATGGGGGGGTAAGTCTTATATTTTTCTTATATTTTAATTTGATTAATTTTTTTTTAAATTTATGTAAGTCACTAATATATGTCTTTTTTTGTAAAACAGCATATCGATGCGTGGGTGACACGTCTTCTAATAATAAGAAAACTTAAGAAAAATAAAAATATACGATATACAATTATGCCGACGTCTTTTAACGCCGTTCACTTGAAGAATGCACGAGATGAATCATTTGATTTGGGCAATGGACAAGCTAAACTTTATCCTGCATGGTGGGAGGTCGATAAGGTTAGTATTTATTTTAGATTGAGTTTAAAGGTTTTATGAAATAAGTGCGCAAATGAATGAATTATTACTTATGATTGCAGGTGTTTATCCCTGTTTTGGAACGTAAACATTGGATTCTCGTCGAGCTTCAGCTCCCATCCCTTAAGACAATAGTGTATGACAGCATGATAAATTACATATCATTGGCTGATTTAAGAGAGATTATTAAGGGATGGAGCTCTCATTTGGCTAAATTCTTGGATGCGATCAATTATTGGACTCGTTCTGGAAACAAGAAGCCAAAGAAGCTCAATATTACAGTTATTAGAGACGAGACCGCGCCACAACAAACGGGAGGAGCCAGAGGAGATTGTGGTCCTCTCGTATGCTTGGCGTTGGAGCGTTTGACGACGGGAAGCACCAAGTATCTACCTCCCACCGATAGAGATAGAGCTGCAGTAGGCTTGTGGTTTTGGCATTATATGGCTAAATCGATATATACGAGACGCTGCCTACCTGCATCCGCGTTATAAAAATGTCCATAAACAATTGGTAAGTTTATAGACTTTTGGTTTGAAAATGTTTGGTTAAGTACCTAGAATAGAATAATTTGCTGTTTGTAGGTTTTAGATGTGTAGAAAGTGTTGTTTGAGCAAATGTTTGGTTTCTGCAGGTTAATCTCAGAAGTGAAAATGATGTATGGCTGCAAAAGTTGATTCAATAGTTTAATTGATTGTTTTTTGATTGTTTAATTGATTTGTAAAAGTTGATTCAATAGTAGATGATTGGAAATAAGAATTATTGCTTATTTTTTGATTGTTTAATTGATTTGTAAAAGATGATTTGTAAAAGTTGATTTGTGTAATTGATGCGAACATAATTCTTATTTGTGCTTGTTTAATTGATTGAAATGTAATGGTTGATTTTGTTGATTTCAATCTGCATTATGTTGAAATGAAAATCGCAATGCGAAATGAAAATCGCAACGAGAGAATCGCAATGCGAAATGAAAATCGCAATGTGGAAATGAAAATCGCAACGAGAGAATCGCAATGCGATTTTCATTTCGCATTGCGATTTTCATTTCCGCATTGCGATTCTCTCGTTGCGATTTTCATTTCGCATTGCGATTTTCATTTCACATTGCGATTCTCTCGTTGCGATTTTCATTTCGCATTGCGATTTTCATTTCCGCATTGCGATTCTCTCGTTGCGATTTTCATTTCGCATTGCAATTTTCATTTCGCATTGCGATTTTCATTTCCGCATTGCGATTTTCTTGTTGGGATTTTCATTTCGCATTGCGATTCTCTCGTTGCGATTGTAATTTCCGTGTTGCGATAGTCAAATGCATGCCTAATAAGTGATAACAACTGAATAACAGAGTTGGTTAAGTCAAAATGGTTGGCCTGAGTCATTAATTCAACTGAAAATGTTAAAAGTTCACACATAAAATCCACATAATACAACGTTTGCATTTAAAAATCACCTAAGTTAACAGTCCCAAAAGGTGAAGCCAATTGTGATTGGGATTTTAAAGATGATTGCCTTTTGCTTGACACCATATGAGCTTTGGATTTTGATGAGGATCCATATTTTGGTAGAGGAAAAGATGATTTTGATGGCACTGGTGATCCACATGTCAACCTTGTATGACCACTTTCCTTGCACCGACTACATGTCGATCTCTTCTTCTCTTCACCCTTAGACGGTATACGATCGTGACTTTTTGGTCGGCCAGGTAGCCTTCTGTCCATGGCTGGTGGCAAAACTGTTTGTAAGTCATCTGGTATGTCCCACTCAGAAGGATGTGGAATAGGGTAGACAATCTCGGCATAAGTCTGTCGATAAACTTCTGTAGTGTAGCAATCCATAGCGTATGCGCTTGAATCATCTTGGTTTAAATGAAGAGCAACTTTTATAACATGGCCACAAGGATAACCAGATGTTTGCCATTTCATACAACTACACGTCTTTGCATTTAGATCGACTAGCCCATTTAAGTTATTATCCAGTACTTGAAACAAAGTGTTTGAACATGGTTCAACTCTCCATGACGTTGACTTCACAACACGTTTCGTTATTTTTTTCAGTCCATGGTGTAACACGATGTTCCAATGTTCCTGTAAATTTAAATAAACAATACTTAGTAAAATATATAAATATGATAAGTTACGAATTCAAAGAAATAATACCTGCATGGTTTCTTTTCTTGTAGTACCACTGTTGAATAGAGGCTCGAAAAAACTCCATTAACATAGTAATGGGTAATTTCCGGGAATGACGACTTAGAGCGTTGATTGATTCTGCACTATTAGACGTCATGAAACCATATCTTGCTCCAAGTTGATGTACTCTTGACCATCTTTCAAACCCGACATCTTCTAGTGTTTGAGCACACTGAGGCAAAACACGTCTTAAACAATTTATATGCTTATTGAAATCCACTTCCCGATAAGCTTTTACAGCCTTCCAGTATGTCCATTTGTGCTTTTTTATACCAGCAGACCTTGATTTTAGATTTCTATACAAATGAACACCACAAAGTCCATGAAAAGCATATGGGAAACACCTTCTAACAGCGTTGTCAATTGAGTTTGCCCTATCGGATATGATTGTCAGATTGCTAATAGGACCTATGCAATCCCTAAGATGCCCCATAAACCATGTCCATGAATCAGAGGTTTCAGATTTGCCAACCCCGTAAGCTATTGGCAATATCCCATTGTTAGCATCCATGGCTACTGCTAATAAGTTTACTCCAAGGTATCGACCTTTCAAATGTGCTCCGTCAACTATAATAACTGGGCGCATGCAAGTAATAAACGAACGAATCTACAAAATAATATACACAAGAAATAATCATTTAAATGTGAAATGCATGTAACTAACAAAAATGAGTCAACAAAATTATATTGATTTACTAACCGTAGCACCAATGGCGATAAACAGCAACTCAAAGCGTCCATCTCTATCTGTTTTGATATGAGTTACCGACCCAGGGTTTTTCAGCTTTAAATTGTGACAATAAGCCGGCAGTTGGGCAAACGATGCTTCTGGCGACCCCCTCAACAATTCCAAGGCATAACATTTGGCTCTCCAAGCTTGAGAATATGATATACTAATCTTGAACCGAGCATTCATGTCAGTCATAATTTCATGTCCCCGATATACCCTGCCATTCAAAAACATTAACTCAGCCAGAAAACCACCCAACACCTTTTTGTTTGCCTGTCTATGGTGAGGAAAAACTTGGGTTCTTGAACATGTATGTTTATCAATAAAAGTCCTAACTTGAAACATTTCGCAATCTTTTATTCTCTTTGCAATCATACGCCACGTACAGTTTTTGTCAATCATACACCTTGTTTCGAAACGATCTTTGCTTGATTTGTTAACTTTTAGTTGATAGCCATCTTCCACACATTTCGTATACAAAGCTATCTTCAAGTCTTCCTTTGTATCAAAACAATCATCTTTCTTGATACGAATAACTTTTGTGTAACAATCAACTGCTTTCTTTACCAACTCTTCTTCCGGTATCTGAAGTAATTCTGGCATATTCCAGTTATACGCCCGTGGCATTTTCTTTTCTTCGGGGACTTTTTCTTCTTCTTTTTCTTCTTCAGGATTATGTGAATTACAGAATGGATGTTCAACATGTTCATTCACAGTCATAACTTCCTCCTCATTATCATCAACAATACATTCTTCGGCAACGGCTGTTTCTTCATCAAAATTCGGGTATTGACCAATATCAAAATCATTACACGCAGGGTCTGTTTCTTCTTCTGAAACATCATCAAAATCCGTGTATTGACCAATATCAAAGTCCGGATATTGACCAAGACCAAATTTCGAATACTGACTAGTACTCACAATTTTTTCTGTTGGCTCATCATCGTCTAACTGGTCAATACGAAAACCGGAATTTGGTGCTGAAAGTTGATTGGGATTTGGATTAGAGAAAGGTTGTGGGTTTTGAGAAAAACTTAGTTGATTACTACCCGCTACTGACCCAACAATACTACTTCTAGGTTCAACAACATACAATGTAACATCATCTTGTGAAACACTAATGTAAGCAATGAATCGTTCAACATCTTCATTGTCGGTTAACAAATAAACTTTACCATTTCTCTGATAAGATAGCCTAAATCCACTTAGGGGCTCTAAATTCAATTTATTTGAAACACGTAGCATTAGAGTTTCATAAGTTAACTTTTGTAAAGACAATTTTAGTTGAAGATTCATGGGTAAAGGCATATATTGTAAAACACCATGAACATTATCCCATGACCCTCCAAAACACAAATCTATCCAAACATGATCAACATTAGATGATTTCATGGTTGTAAATTAATTTACTAAACAGATGAGCTGCGAAACTAAAACCTGTTGCCGGATTGGGAAGGATGTCGTTGGATATAGGAACGGATGTCGCCGGAGAGAGTGATAGATGGAGATGGAATGAGTTGCGATTTAGGGATTTAGTTTATGATTTGCTGCTGTTGCGTAGTTATATACCCAAAATTTCAGTGTTGTGATTTACAGATTCTCGTTGCGATTTACGGATTATCGTTGCGATTTACAGATTCTCGTTGCGATTTACGGATTATCGTTGCGATTTACGGATACGCGTTGCGATATACGGATACGTATTGCGATTTACGGATACGCGTTGCTATTTACGGATACACGTTGCGGTTTACGGATACGCGTTGCGATTTATGTGTTCGCGTTGGGATTTTCATATTCGCGTTGCGATTCTTGAAAATCGCAATGCGAATTTGTACTATCGCATTGCGATTTTTAAGAATCGCGTTGCGATTTTGGAAACTGATTTGCGAGTCTGGGGATCGCGTTGCGATTTTTATTTCGCGTTGCGATTTTGTTGGTCATTTTGGCAAATCCAAAAAAGTGGTTAAAATCGTATATTATAAGGCATTTTTGGTCACTGAGGCGATTTTCTCTTTTTTTTCTCTCTAAACCAAATCAATCAGTGACTTTAAAAAAAAAACTAAAATGTAAAATAGTTTAATTGGCTTAAAAAAAGGTATGAAAATATTAAGAATCAAATAAGATATTGTTTATTAATTTTAATATATAATATTATCTCTTTAATAACACTTAAAGATGCAATATCCATTCTATAATAAAATTTAAAATTTAATATCTATTTTATAACTTTTAAAAGTTTAATACTTCAAAAATATTTAGACCAATTTAATAGCCCATTTTTTAACTTTAACCAACAAAAATTAAGTAAAGTAAAGAAACAAAAGAATGCAATAGGGTCGTTCTGGTAATAGCTTAATCAGATAATAATATAACCATACCCTTAAAATATAATTGAAATTTTCCAAAAAATTAATTGAAAAATAAATTATGTGATCCTTTTTCAGAGAATTGATTTTCATAAGAAATTCGATAAAGAAATATATTTTTTATTCATTGGAAATTCATTATCTCATCATTTTGTTGGATGGAAAATACAAGTGACTCAACGAGGTTGTTTTCCATACTTCAGCAAATAATGGCATCAAAATCATGCAGTTTTTTTTTAAACATATTAAGACTCTGCCATTTGGCAACTATTACCGAATGAAATTGATAAGAGTGCCCTTGCTGGTATCCGCAGCTCATGCAATTGTAACGAACGAAAGGTTCTCTCTTGATCAAATAACAGAATAATAGAACCACTTGGTTTCATTAAAATCTAAAAATAAGAGAGATTGGCTCCTTGTTTGACTTCACCAGGTTCATCAACAAAAATTAATAGACAAGTGCATGAAGCAAAACAAGTGTTTCACCCTATGAATCTCCTGCTACAAGCATGAAGATGATGTAAATGTCCTGCGTAAACACAGAAATTGAAAACAATAGCTAACACAAGTAAAATGATGATCTAACAGCAGCAAACCAATATAAAAACTGTCAGGTATTTTACATCAGTTCGAACCGTACTCCTGAGCCATACGAATATTCCCTATAACCATAAGCATGACGCTTAAGTTCCACATTACAACTCATTTAACCTAATAGTTTATCATAAAAACTGCAGGGTACTACGAGATAAGTTCAAACTGTTTTAGAACACATACTTAATATCCAATAAAAAATGTAGAAAAAGTCCGTGAGATCAATACCAGCCAAGGGAGTCCAATTTATACGTTTCAAGTGATCTACCATAACCCTCAATTCAGAACAAGTTGACTTGTTCCATTGGACTTGCAGGAAGTTTAACTTAAGCTCCTTGGGAGATTTCTAGGTATGCATGCGAAAAATACCAACATACTCTCTTAGCTTTATATCAACTAATAGATAAGCCACATAAATTGTAAATTTCTTTCTGCATACAACTAATAAAAGAAACAAAAAATTAAATATGAAAAGTTTTCAAGAGAATCCCGAGTACTTCCATGATTATCATTTTAATAGGTTGAAAATACCATTGTTAGGAACTCCATTAGAAAATTAGCACAAAACTGTACAAATACATAAACACTCAGCCTCTCAAGATTTTCCGTATTTCTCAATATATCCCTGCAAAGAAATTTAAAAAAAAAAATATCTCAGTTCTATAAATGAATTGCATCAAAAAACTATAAATAGTAAATAGAAGTAAACTTTGGATTGAGAAAACAATATTCACGCTTCAAAAGATCTAAGTTTTGCAGGGAGGAGAAAGTCGGGGTTGGTAGAAGTAATAGCAAATCTATCATCTAGATCACGCCTAGTATACACCACCCCTCAAATCAAAGACACTCACCTGAACAAGCCTTGCTATTTTTGGTTGGGAAGAAGAAAGATACTGCTCAGTTGATTCGAAGGTAAGTGGAATTTGATGAGGCTGAATGGTGCCAATAACCTTGTCAGCAGCTTTTTTGACTATTCTATTATGAACATCTTTACTGAGATGTCCCTCGTGCCAAGTTGGTTTCAAAATTTCTTTAATTAAATCTACAAGAGCAGTGTGGAAATGCCTCATTGCTTTAGACTCTCTCAGTGCATCACCATCAGCCTTATGCTCAACATATGTTTCATTCTTTTCTCTACCTCTATCTACTTTTAGGTCTATTATGCATTGAAACCCATCCCTTTGATGTCTAGCATCTCGACCAGTATCAAATTTTCTAGTCTTTGAAATGTCTTTGACATGAGAAGCAACTGAGGAAATCTCCTCTTTAGCCAGTGTTCCATTTTGCATATCAGCTGCAGAGGTCCCTTCATTTGCATCAGTTGTTGAATGTTTCCCAGAAGTGTAGCAATAATTATTGACCAAATTTTTAAGGTGTCTAGCATGGGAAGATGCAGTTCTTTTATCAGCATGACATTCAGTGACCAATGGCCCGGCCGATGCAGAATCACCATATGTTGGTGGATATGCTACATTCAGGAGGGATGGGTCTTGACTACAAAATGAAAATTCAAGAGAACCCTTTCCTACATTGGACAAATCAATGCTATCACGAAAAGGACCATATCGTGGGGATGATGGGCTAAAAGTAACAAAAAAGGATGGTCGAAAGGGCACTGATGGTTCCCAACCTTCTGAAGAAAAGTTTATTCTATATTCAGCAAAGTGCAATGGATCCCTAGCAATATCACTGACAGGACAGTTTTCCGGTTCAAAATTAGAGAAGGGGGAAGAGCCTTGCAGCAAAGACAACCGGGAAGAATGGTGTTCTCTGCTATTGTCCAACATCTTTTGGGCACCAAGAGAACATGCACTTTGAGAAGAACTTAAAGGTAATGATGCTAACCATGTCCAGACACGAAATTTTTGTTCCTCTTTGTATGTCTTGCCCAATGATGTAACTGAGCCACTTGATGAAGGTATATGCTTAGGAAGAAAACTATTTATGAAAGTAGAACTACCTCTATCACTCAGCAGACAAGGCCTGACAAAATTATCAGTAGGGAAACTCTGATCTGTACTATTTTGTCTTACATCCTTAGATGGTCCAAAATCATCTATAACTGCTAGAAACTGTTGAGAGCCAAGTGATGTGCCGATAGATTTATCCTTACTCTGGAGTAAAGGGGATAAAGCTGTCTTATTTCTAACTGATGAATGCAATTGATCAGAACGAGGTGATGGTGATCTTGATCTTTCAGCAGCATTTCCAATATCTGATGCACAAGGTTCTTGTTAAGATATCATTGTAGAGAAGACTGGATCACCCTAAATACAGGGGAAAAAATTGTACCTTCACCAAGCTGAACAGATGCTTTCTTATCTGCTACAGCTACATCTTCCTCAGGTTGTTGTCTAGGATTAACAACGCTACCTTTGATGTGAATATATTTACATGAACTTCCTTTAATACACCGCCCTTTAACAAAGAATTCACATATAAGCGCAGGGTGTTTGTTCTCACTATTAAACTCAATACCAGGGGAAAGACCTGCGGTACTAGTTTCTGGAGAAGCAGATCTGTAAAACCTATCGATTAGTAAAATAATGGATAAATAATCCTAGGAAGGAAGAAATTTACTAGCAAAAAGGACATAATAAGAAGCTTGGTTTCAATTTTCTATGTTACAGAACACATAGGTATCACCAACCTTAATTTTATACTCCACTTATCATCCTCTGTTTGCATGCACATTTGCTTATTATTTCGCTTCAAACCTAGATGAGTGCTAAGTTCTGCCCCTGACTGATATCTGACTGGGATTGAAATAATCTCATTGATAGCTACCTCTTTGCTATCAACAATTGACCGATTAGTCGTCTCATTCACAATCTCATTGACAACCAAGTGACTCTTGCTATTAGTATGCTGTCCATGGCATTTTTCAGGGGCTTTTCTTTCTAAAATGACTTGAGCATCTTGTATATTAACATCATATTCTTGAATCGCCTTTTCCTTTCCAGCGCTTTTGCCAGATATTGGATACTCGGAACCCTCATAGTTTGTGTGAAGATCCTCCCTTTGAGTTGCTAATGGCTCATCTGGAAGACTACAGAATATGAAACTAGCATTACTCTCTCCTACATAAAGGGTTTTAGAGGCTATTCTCATTTCAGAACTTCCAGGAGCTCTTAAAGGATCTGATCCTGGGTGTCCATCATGCTCCTTGGACTTGATATTATTACTAGCGCCTACATGGAAGAAAAACGTAATCCAGATGACAAGAAATAACCACAATTTCTGATCACACTATGAAATAACATTTAACCAAATCCTATAAAAGTTGAGTCTTTCCATTTCATTTTCTTATAATATGGAGCCTAAAAGGAATTACCAAGCCGAAATTAAGAGAGAATAAATTGGGGCACCTGCACTGCTGCCTTATAGCAGTACAGCATGAACAAGTTAAAGATGGATCAATTCACCTAATGCTAACACAACAAAGAATCAAGCACCTAAGAAAGAGATGTGTCAGCAGTAATGCATAACAGTATCTTAAAGCTGAGGTACTTAGGCTTAACTGAAAATCAATCCACTTGTTGAATAAGTGCACACAAATCTATAAACCTTGCCTCCCACATAGAAAAATTATTTATTTATTTATTTAATTTTCTCCTCTTAACACTACAGTCCTCTAACGTCATTCAGGGCACAGCATAAAAATCATGACTTTAAAACATATTCAAAATTTAATCTCCTTTCAGAGAAATCAAATGTCATAAAGATGAAACAGGTGCAATCATCATCATCGTCATGCATAAATTATTTACGTTCAGAATTAGTTCAATGAAAAAACGATTGAACGATAGTTTATCTATAATAACCGTTTCGTTTCGAAGACGTATGCACTTTCTCTTCTCCTTCTTCCTCAACTTCGTCGTCGTCGATTTCCATATCGGACCTTTTGACGTCCTTATCGGCGAGTGGAACAGCGGCGGGAGTTGACAGATGCATTGCGGCTGTATGCTGTATTTTTAACGGAGTCATGAAACGGAGGGGAAGGGTGTTGCGGAGCTGCGCAGTCAAAAAGTATGATCTCTATTCATCGTTTGCCATCTGGATTGCCGATCATCACCGGATTAGGAATCTATTTCTTTCTTCTCCACGCGCTTCTCTTAGAGCGTGCTTCAGGGATTAGTAATTGGGCTCCCAGATGCATCATCTCGTACCGTGAAGAAAACGGAGTTTTGTTTAGAGAAAATTTTCGAGTTAATTCTACAGCAAGTCCACAAACTTATAATTCTGCAGTCACTTTTGATCTCTTAATTCATTGGTAGAGATTATTATTATTTTTAAAGGTTTTAAATTTGAGCACAAAAAATCAAGAATAATTGATTCTTTATTATTAAAAAAATTAAAACTTATTTAAACATATATTATCTTACAATTACTTTTAAATTCATAAAAAATTAATTCTCTTTAAAATGATATCAACGCCTAAGGTTTGTACTATTATTATTATTTTTTTTGCTTTGTTGTTGTTAGTCTTTTTCCTTTTTTTTAGTGTAGTATATCTTTGTTTTTTTTTTGTTTTCTTATTTTTAATAAGGGTAAACTATTTCAATGGTCACTAATATTTAGGTAAGTTTTTTTTTCACCATTGATGTTTTAAAAGTTACAAATCGGTCACTACCGTAATTGTTTGTTACAAATTGGTCACTCGTCGTTAACAGGTGTGACGGAAAACACACGTGGTCTGTTAACAGCAGTTAACATGCTTACTTGGATGGTATAATTACACAAATAGTCCATGTTATTTATATATTCTTTCAATTTGATCATAGTTTTAAAAAATTAAAATATGTTTATTTTTAATTCTTATAAATAATGATATATTTTTATACAAAATAATTAAATGTTTTTTAGTTATAAAAACAAAAAAATTAACGTGATGATATTATTATTATTAAATGTATTTTTAAGAAAATGAATCGTTAATTTTTCATCTAATCAATAATAATATCATCACGATTCATTTTTCCAAGAATTTAGGTTTGAAACCGGGTAAACATTTGCATGGCAATCAACTTTTGACATTGCAGGTGCCAAAGTTGCCACAAAAATTGAACATACTACAGTTGTTGTTTGGCTCCCACCATATCAAGTTCCAACTTTTCATGTCTGTATCCAACTCCCAATACTGTAAATGTCCAGTAGAACTCAACACCGTTCTTTTATCTTGGTAAACTTGTGTTTTACTCATGCTGAAATTCCAGAAGTTGACTAATGTAGAAGGCAGTTCATCTGCTCTACTTGATCTCCAGTAAATGGTGCTCTTTTCCATGACAACAGGCCGCAATTGAGAATCTAGTCCGAACGTGAAGTTTCCCGGTGATGGATCATCTTCACTGCGCCATGAAGTTAATAAGATATCGGCATTCATCTTCATACCATAAAGAAAAGTATCCGTCGGATGCTCAAAGCTTTGCCAAAGATATAGTTTCCACCGATCGAGTAGAATCAAGTTACCGGTATCGCTAAGCTTCACCATCGGAGTTGAACGCTTAACCCCAGGCTGTGCAGACCAGTAAAGGTTCCCTTTGTCATCAGATAACTTCAGTGTGCCATCTGCAACAGATAGAACCCCAGTCCTATCTGGAACTGGATTTTTTCCATTGCCAACCCAAACAAGTATTTTCGGATTAGAGGTATACCATATCCCCACATATCTCTTCACGTTGGAGATGCTTGATGGGCTAAAGAACCCCAGTTCAAATCTATTTCCAGCTGAAACAAGAGTTTCCCCATCTGCGAGTCTAATTTTTACTGTTATATTATCTCTAGCGAAACAGAACTGAGGGGAAGAAAACATAATCAAAATTGTGTTGATAAATAAGATGGAAGAAACGATGTTAGGTACTGACCAACTTGAAGCTGCTTTCATCTTGTGTGGAACATAATTTTTCTGCAAAAATCGATAACTTTCTTCTTCAGGGATGATTAATACGAGTCAGTAGCTAAAATTGCTTTCCTATATAGAGCATATTTAGTACTAATATTTCATCATATCAATAATAATAATATCATCACGTTAATTTTTTTTTATAACTAAAAAAACATTTAATTATTTTGTATAAAAATATATCATTATTTATAAGAATTAAAAATAAATATATTTTAATTTATTAAAACTATGATCAAATTGAAAGAATATATAAATAACATGGACTATTTGTATAGGGTGAATTCACGAGATAATGTTCTCGAACTTTTTTATTCACGATATAATGCACATCCCAGATTAATTGCTGAAATGGGGTGAATTCTACAGTGACCTCGTAGGTCGCCATGGCATCCGGGCGACCTTGTAGGTCGCCATGGCATCCGGGCGACCTTGGAGGTCGCCATGGCATCCGGGCGACCTTGGAGGTCGCCATGGCATCCAAGCGACCTGTGTGGTGTTTTGCAGGTGTAGGTCGCCATGCAATCAAATAGTATTGGAGCATGCATGGGGGAGTTGTGGGAGCTGTGCATGGGACGAGGGAACTGTGCATGGGGCATGGGGGAGTTGTGGGAGCTGTGCATGGGACGTGGGACCTGTGCATGGGGCATGGGGGAGTTGTGGGAGCTGTGCATGGGACGTGGGAACTGTGCATGGGGCATGCACGTCGAACGGTGTAGGTCGCCGTGGTAGGTAGGTCGCCTACATGCGTTGCATCATAGCTGGGAGATTCCTGCATCCGTAGCTGCATGTGTTGCATCCATAGTTGCGTTATTGCAGCGTTAATTTAGCTGCCAAATGCAGTAAATATTATTGTTCAATTGCAGCTTTTCAATGCTCAATAGTTATACGATGCAATGCTAATATTATTTGCTTCAACAGTCAAATTTAATGACTCTGTCCAACGCTCAGTTGCTTTATATAAATGATATGGGGTTTAGGGTAGAAGCACAAGTAAAACCAGAAGTATAAGCACATATAAACTTTGCCGAGAGAAAGAAAAAGAAGAAGAATAAAAGAAGATAAAGGCTCAAACATAGTTCGTGAGGTAATTTTTTTATTGTTTAATTTAGTTTATTATATGAAATTATTAGTTTGTTAGTTTCGGGTTTAGGGTAAAACTAAAATCTAGTTAATTAGTTTGTTAGTATAAATTATTAGTTTGTTAGTTTAAGTTATATTATATTAGTTTATTAGTTTAAGTTATATTATATTAGTTTATTAGTTTAAGTTATATTATATATATAAAAAATTAGTTAATTAGTTTCTTAGTTTAAGTTATTAAATATAAAAAAATATTAATTAATTTGTTAGTGTCTTTAAACGTATATTAGGCTGTTCGTTGAAGTTGAAGTTATATTATAAAAAAATTAATTAGTGCTTAATTAGTTTGTTATTTTAACTAAGTTATATTATAATAAAGAAATAGTTTATTAATTTAAGGTATATTATAATATATTAGATTATATAAAATTAATTTGTGGGAGCTATTTTTGTTTAAATAAATATTTTGTTTACACATACATGACATTATTTCACAATATTTGCCCACGTACAGATTGATTCGAAGAAAGAAACAAGGCAGGAAAAGAAAGTAAAGGAAGAAGGCATAAAGACGTGAGTAATTTATTATTTTTTGTTGTCCATTTTTTATTGTTTTGTATGTGTAAATTAGTTAGTTAGTAAGTTTATATTAAATTATATAAACTAATTTGTGCGAGATAATTTCCGTTTTAAAAAATATTGTGTTTAAAAATATTTAGTGTTGTTTTAAAAATATTTTGTTTAATTTACATTGTATGTGTATATTAGTAAGGAGTAAAAATTAATTGAATAAAATAATCCGGACAACGCATTATCTCGCGAAATAATTATTTCGAGAACATTATCTCGACAGTTTTGCCTAACAAATTCGTTTGTTATTTTTAAAAAATAAAAAATATTATCAAACTAATCATTATTATTAGTAATAATTACTAAATGATTAGTATCAAATCTATATCATTAAATATTTAGAATAAATAATTATTAGTGATTATGACTAAATCATATTATTATTAAATCATTAAATATCAAATCATTAGATTAATAGTAATTATCAAATCATTATTAGGTTTATTAGTAAGCAATCAATCAAGTTAAATAATAAATTTTATTTGATCATTAATATAATAATATATTATATTATATTTAATAATTTATGAAATTATCTTATCTAATTTTTTAATCTAAATTAATTTATTTTTTTATTTGTAGAGAAAATGAGCAACAACTTTTTCACGATTGTCCATTATAATGGACAGATTATGGAAAATGAGGTCGGAGTAGTTTTTCAGTCTGAAAAACCAATAAATATGATGTTCAAAAAAGACATCACATTTATAGAAATGAAGCATAAGATAGAAAGAAAAATTCGAGCTGCAGTTGATGGTTTGAGGTATAGGTTTATGATATGCTCTAACCCAATCAGATATGCTGCAGTTCCACTTGAAGAAGATGATGATATTGGAACCATGGTTGGATTACATGAGTAAACCAATATAGCAGTTATTGAATTATTTGTTTATGTGCTAACATATGTGATGTTCCTGGGTCATCAAGAGGTGTGGCTCAAAATCCATCTGAAATGGCTTTATATAGTCAGTTTGAGGAGCCGACATACAGGTTCCCGAACAGTTTTATGGCACTATTGGAAAGTGTAAATGAAGTCGGGGGGACATCTACAGCAGCAGAGTATGAGACGAGAAACATACCGGAATTGGTTGTTGATATTGACGCTGAAAATCGATGGGGAGAAATTCATGATGATTCAAGCGAAGATGAAGAAACTGAAGAACCCGTTTTGGGCGGCGACGAAAATATTTTTGGTGGAGGTGCAATTGATGAAGTTCCGACACCGTATGAAGCTACTCCTCACATGTACGAGATAGACTATGATACAATGAGGGCACCTGAATTCCCAGACATGCCACATTTACCTCCGTACCAAATGACTGAATCATTCGATAATTCTGGTGAATTTTCAGTTGGGGTGCAATTCAGAGGAAAAAATGAAGTTACGCTGGCGATTAAAGAGTACTGTATCAAATGCCATGTTGATGTCCATGTTGCAGAGTCCAACCAGAAAACCCTATACGCAAAGTGTGTAAAATATGGCCCATAGTGCAAGTGGAAGATCAGAGTGTCGAAAAATCAAAGGCGCGATGTTTGGGTCATCACGAGGTACAATGGTTCGCACACATATTTGCGAAACTCCATCGAACAAGACCACCGACTATTGGACTCAGATGTAATATGTGAATACGTGAAGGCGGTGGTTGAAAAGGATCCAAGGATATCTTGTTCAGTGTTAGCTGCATCTATTCAAAGCCAATTTGGATATCAAGTAAAATATGGCAAGGTGTGGAATGCGAAAATGAACGCAATGAAGTTGACGTATGGAGATTGGGATACATCGTACAATGAGCTACCACATTTGCTACAAGCAATGAAGCAATTTATCCCAGGAACTATAGTGAAGTCTCAAACCATGCCCGCATATGACGAAGAAGGTTAACTTTTGCCAGGGAAGAAAATATTTTATAGACTATTTTGGGCATTCAAGGCATGTATTGAAGGATTTCCATTTTGCAAACGTATGATCCAAGTAGATGGTACGTGGTTGTATGGTCAATATAGGCATGTACTTTTGATGGCAGTTGCTCAAGATGGTGAGCGAAATATCTTCCCAATTGCATTCGCCATTGTTGAGGGAGAGAAACAGAGGCTTGGGATTTCTTTCTGACCAATCTACGTCAATATGTCGTTCGTGAAGATGGAGTTTGCTTGATATCCGATAGAGGAACGGGTATTTTGGCGGCAATTGAACGACCAGGAAGTCGTTGGATACCTCCGTATGCATATCTGACATTTTGTATCCGTCATATTGGCAAGAATAGTATCGACCAGTTTCATAACGCACATATTCGTAGCGAGATAGTCAGCATGGGTAAGTTTTATTTTCAATATTTGTGTATTTTTTACGTGGTTTTTTTAATTGTGGTTTAACACAATATATTATGGAACAGGATACGAACTACATCGACCAAATTTTGACAAGAGATTGGAGAATTTGAAGGTATTTTACGATGATCAGCGTGTTTGGAAGTGGGCTTCAAAAATACCGCGGGAAAAATGGTCGCAAGCATACGATGAAGTTCGGAGATACGGACATATGACGACAAACCTTGTTGAGGACATTAATTCGGTACTAAAAGGTACACGCCATCTCCCAATAGCGAGTGTGGTGAAAGAGACATACTTTAGACTGGGTAAAGTTTGGTAGGACAAAGGCAAGGAAATTGAGAGTCTCATAAATAGAGGTAAAACTTGGGCTCCTACAGTGGTGGAATCAATGGAATCAAATGAGCGATTGGCAACATCAATGGTTGTTCATAATTTCGACCGAGTTGGTCATACTTTTGTCGTGTCGTGTATACGTCGTAACGTCGGAGGAGAAGACCAAACATTTAGAGTTGATTTACGACACAAATGGTGTGATTGTGGTCGTTTTCAGGCATGGAAATATCCATGTGCTCATGCAGTCGCTGCATGTATGTATGCTGGTGTAAGCGCATACACTTATGTTGATGAATGCTTCCACCTACGTAGGATATTAAATGTCTACAACTATGTGTTCAGACAGATCCCGAATGAATCATATTGGCCCAAAAAGGATCATGATGAATGGCTACCAAATCCAATGCTTCGCAGAAGTCCAAAGGGTCGACCTGAGTCCACTCGAATTTATACCAGTATGGATTTCCATGCTATAGAGAGAGGTCAAGCAAAGAGATACTGAGTGTGAACATAACTACCGGATTTATCAGGCA